TTACTCACTGACTTCTTTATTCACTCACTTCTTTATTCACTCACTTCTTTATCCACTCATTTCTTTATTTACTCACTTCTTTATTCACTCACTTCTTTATCCACTCACTTCTTCATTCACTCACTTCTATACTCACTGACTTCTTTATTCACTCACTTCTTTATTCACTTACTTCTTTATTCACTCACTTCTTTATTCACTCACTTCTTTACTCACTGACTTCTTTATTCACTCACTTCTTTATTCACTCACTTCTTTAACCACTCATTTCTTTATTTACTCACTTCTTTATTCACTCACTTCTTTATCCACTCATTTCTTTATTTACTCACTTCTTTATTCAATCACTTCTATACTCACTCACTTCTTTATTCACTGACTTCTTTACTCACTGACTTCTTTATTCACTCACTTCTTTACTCACTGACTTCTTTACTCACTCACTTCTTCATTCACTCACTTCTTCATTCACTCACATTTCTTCATCCACTCACTTCTTTATTCACTCACATTTCTTCATCCACTCACTTCTTTATTCAATCACTTCTATATTCACTCAGTCACTCGTTCACTGACTTCTTTACTCACTGACTTCTTTATTCACTGACTTCTTCATTCATTCACTTCTTCATTCCCTCACTTCTATACTCACTTCTTCATTCACTCACTTCTATACTCACTTACTTCTTCATTTACTCACTTCTTTATTCACTCAGTTCTATACTCACTCACTTCTATATTCACTCGCTTCTTTATTCACCCACTCATTCACGCACTTCTTTATTCACTCACTTCTTATTCACTCACTTCAGCAACCCATGCTTGCCGTAAAAGGCGACTATGCTTGTCGTAAAAGGCAACTAATTGGATCGGGTGGTCAGGCTCGCTGACTTGGTTGATGCGTGTCATCGATCCCAACTGTGTGGATCGATGTTCATGATGTAAATCACTGAATTATCTGGTCCAGACTTGATTATTTACAAACCGCCGTCATATAGCTGGAATATTGCTGAGTGCAGCGTAAAACAATAAACCAAACCAAACCAAATTTTTACTCACACACTTCTTTAATCACTCACTTCTTTACTCACTCACTTCTTCATTCACTCACTTCTTTACTCACTTCTTCATTCACTCACTTCTTTATTCACTCACTTCTTTACTCACTCACTTCTTCATTCATTCACTTCTTCATTCACTCACTTCTTTACTGACTCACTTCTTTATTCACTCACTTCTTTACTCTCTCACTTCTTCATTCACTCACTTCTGTATTCACTAATTTTATTATTCACTCACTTCTTTATTCACTCACTTCTTTACTCACTTCTTTATTCACTAACTTCTTTATTCACTCACTTTATTTACCCCATTCTTTATTCACTCACTTCATTCACTCACTTCTTCATTCACTCACTTCATTATTCACTCGGGGCGGTCGGGTAGCCTAGTGGTTAAAGCGTTCGCTCGTCACGCCGAAGACCCGGGTTCGATTCCCCACATGGGTACAATGTGTGAAGCCCATTTCTGGTGTCCCCCGCCGTGATATTGCTGCAATATTGCTAAAAGCGGCGTAAAACCATAACACTCACTCATTATTCACTCACACTTCTTCAGTCACTCACATTTCATTATTCACATTTAGTTCTCTCACTTCTATATTCACTCATATTTCATTGTTCTCTCACTTCTTTATTCACTCACTTCTTATTCACTCACTTCAGCAACCCATGCTTGCCGTAAAAGGCGACTATGCTTGTCGTAAAAGGCAACTAATTGGATCGGGTGGTCAGGCTCGCTGACTTGGTTGATGCGTGTCATCGATCCCAACTGTGTGGATCGATGTTCATGATGTAAATCACTGAATTATCTGGTCCAGACTTGATTATTTACAAACCGCCGTCATATAGCTGGAATATTGCTGAGTGCAGCGTAAAACAATAAACCAAACCAAACCAAATTTTTACTCACACACTTCTTTAATCCCTCACTTCTTTACTCACTCACTTCTTCATTCACTCACTTCTTTACTCACTTCTTCATTCACTCACATTTCTTCATTCACTCACTTCTTTATTCACTCACTTCTTTACTCACTCACTTCTTTACTCACTCACTTCTTCATTCATTCACTTCTTCATTCACTCACTTCTTTACTGACTCACTTCTTTATTCACTCACTTCTTTACTCTCTCACTTCTTCATTCACTCACTTCTGTATTCACTAATTTTATTATTCACTCACTTCTTTATTCACTCACTTCTTTACTCACTTCTTTATTCACTAACTTCTTTATTCACTCATTTTATTTACCCCATTCTTTATTCACTCACTTCATTCACTCACTTCTTCATTCACTCACTTCATTATTCACTCACACTTCTTCAGTCACTCACATTTCATTATTCACATTTAGTTCTCTCACTTCTATATTCACTCATATTTCATTGTTCTCTCACTTCTTTATTCACTCACATTTCGTCGTTCTCTCACTTCTTTATTCACTCACATCTCATCGTTCTCTCACTTCTTTATTCACTCACATCTCATCGTTCTCTCACTTCTTTATTCACTCACATCTCGTCGTTCTCTCACTTCTTTATTCACTCACATTTCGTCGTTCTCTCACTTCTTTTTTCACTCACATTTCGTCGTTCTCTCACTTCTTTATTCACTCACATTTCGTCGTTCTCTCACTTCTTTATTCACTCACATCTCGTCGTTCTCTCACTTTATTCACTCACATCTCGTCGTTCTCTCACTTCTTTATTCACTCACATTTCGTCGTTCTCTCACTTCTTTATTCACTCACATTTCGTCTTTCTCTCACTTCTTTATTCACTCACATTTCGTCGTTCTCTCACTTCTTTTTTCACTCACATCTCGTCGTTCTCTCACTTCTTTATTCACTCACATCTCACCGTTCTTTCACTTCTTTATTCACTCACATGTCGTCGTTCTCTCACTTTTTTATTCACTCACATTTCGTCGTTCTCTCACTTCTTTATTCACTCACATCTCATCGTTCTCTCACTTCTTTATTCACTCACATCTCGTCGTTCTCTCACTTCTTTATTCACTCACATTTCGTCGTTCTCTCACTTCTTTTTTCACTCACATTTCGTCGTTCTCTCACTTTATTCACTCACATTTCGTCGTTCTCTCACTTCTTTATTCACTCACATCTCGTCGTTCTCTCACTTTATTCACTCACATCTCGTCGTTCTCTCACTTCTTTATTCACTCACATTTCGTCGTTCTCTCACTTCTTTATTCACTCACATTTCGTCTTTCTCTCACTTCTTTATTCACTCACATTTCGTCGTTCTCTCACTTCTTTTTTCACTCACATCTCGTCGTTCTCTCACTTCTTTATTCACTCACATCTCACCGTTCTTTCACTTCTTTATTCACTCACATCTCGTCGTTCTCTCACTTCTTTATTCACTCACATCTCGTCGTTCTCTCACTTCTTTATTCACTCACATTTCGTCGTTCTCTCACTTCTTTTTTCACTCACATTTCGTCGTTCTCTCACTTCTTTATTCACTCACATTTCGTCGTTCTCTCACTTCTTTATTCACTCACATCTCGTCGTTCTCTCACTTTATTCACTCACATTTCGTCGTTCTCTCACTTCTTTATTCACTCACATTTCGTCGTTCTCTCACTTCTTTATTCACTCACATTTCGTCGTTCTCTCACTTCTTTATAAACTCACATTTCGTCGTTCTCTCACTTCTTTATTCACTCACATCTCGTCGTTCTCTCACTTTATTCACTCACATCTCGTCGTTCTCTCACTTCTTTATTCACTCACATTTCGTCGTTCTCTCACTTCTTTATTCACTCACATTTCGTCTTTCTCTCACTTCTTTATTCACTCACATTTCGTCGTTCTCTCACTTCTTTTTTCACTCACATCTCGTCGTTCTCTCACTTCTTTATTCACTCACATCTCACCGTTCTTTCACTTCTTTATTCACTCCCATCTCGTCGTTCTCTCACTTCTTTATTCACTCACATTTCGTCGTTCTCTCACTTTTTTATTCACTCACATTTCGTCGTTCTCTCACTTCTTTATTCACTCACATTTCGTCGTTCTCTCACTTCTTTATTCACTCACATTTCGTTGTTCTCTCACTTCTTTATTCACTCACATTTCGTCGTTCTCTCACTTCTTTATTCACTCACATTTCGTCATTCTCTCACTTCTTTATTCACTCACATTTCGTCATTCTCTCCCTTTTTTATTCACTCACATCTCGTCTTTCTCTCACTTCTTTATTCACTCACATCTCATCGTTCTCTCACTTCTTTATTCACTCACATGTCGTCGTTCTCTCACTTCTTTATTCACTCACATTTCGTCGTTCTCTCACTTCTTTATTCACTCACATCTCGTCGTTCTCTCACTTCCTTTTTCACTCACATCTCATCGTTCTCTCACTTCTTTATTCACTCACATGTTGTCGTTCTCTCACTTCTTTATTCACTCACATTTCGTCGTTCTCTCACTTTTTTATTCACTCACATTTCGTCGTTCTCTCACTTCTTTATTCACTCACATTTCGTCGTTCTCTCACTTCTTTATTCACTCCCATCTCGTCGTTCTCTCACTTCTTTATTCACTCACATCTCGTCGTTCTCTCACTTCTTTATTCACTCACATCTCGTCGTTCTCTCACTTCTTTATTCACTCACATTTCGTCCTCACACTTCTTTTTTCACTCACATCTCGTCGTTCTCTCACTTCTTTATTCACTCACATTTCGTCGTTCTCTCACTTCTTTATTCACTCACATCTCGTCCTCTCACTTTATTCACTCCCATCTCGTCGTTCTCTCACTTCTTTATTCACTCACATCTCGTCGTTCTCTCACTTCTTTATTCACTCACATTTCGTCCTCTCACTTTATTCACTCCCATCTCGTCGTTCTCTCACTTCTTTATTCACTCACATTTCCTCGTTCTCTCACTTCTCTCCTCACGGTTACAGAGGATGGCTGATGAGGAACAGCTGTACCATGTGACCCCGACTGTCCGCAGTGGACCGATGTCAAGAGTGTCTGGTTGTGAGGTCTACCTCAAGCTTGAGAATCTCCAGGCCCCCGCGTCCTTTAAAATCAGGGGAGTCTCGAACCTCTGTAAAAAGGTTAGACTGGCCCAGTGTCTATTTTAGTGAAGAACAGTCCCCGTTGTATTCTGCGGCCACAAAATCAATATTCTGCAACCAGATTTTGACAATTCTGCTTATAAGCTTAGTTTTTTGTAAATTTTGTATTTTTGCACCTGTTGACTTGTGGCAGGCATTTTTATGATAAAGATATCCATGACGAGATTAGCTTTTTCCATGGCTAGATTAGCTTTTTCCATGGCCAGATTAGCTTTTTCCATGGCTAGATTAGCTTTTTCCATGGCCAGATTAGCTTTTTCCATGGCTAGATTAGCTTTTTGAAGGGAATCAGAACACTAGTGTTAACATACAGACATGCACTTTTGGTTAGCAATATTACGTCAAGCTCACAAAATCCATTTACACATTTAAAATCAGCTTTCGACTCACATGTTGAAATCCTGCAGTGTATTTGGGTGTTTGACGAATTCAGCAGCAGATAAATGCAAAATTTCGCGAAAGTTCTGCACAAAGTGTGATTTTCTGCAAGATAGGTTAAGTACATTTCTGCAAAATATTCCACGACTGGGCAGTATCTCCAAATACAGTGGGGACTGGAAGATGTGTTCAATGTCTGGCAAAACTTTCGTTGATGAAGCAGGCATCAACAACAAAATGCAATTTGAACCATTGTTCAGAAAAGCATTTCAATGTCAATATCAATAATAACAAATAATATTTACCTTGGATTCAGGACATAACAATTGAATAGTTGGATTTTCACTCCAATCTGCCTCACTACCATACACCGTGAAGATCCGGGGTAGAATAGGTCTTCAGCAAAAATAACCCATGTTTGCCGTAAAAGACGACTTTGCTTGTCGTAAGAGGCGACAGACAGGATCGGGTTGTCAGACTCGCTGACTTGGTTGATGCATGTCATCGATCCCAATTGCATGGATCAATGCTCATGATGTCAATCACTGGATTGTTTTGTCCAGGCTCGATTGAATACATATAGCTGGAATATTGCTGAGTGCAGCGTTAAACAACAAACAAACACTACCAAACAACTCACTTCTTTACTCACTCACATTTCTTTATTCACTCACTTCTTTATTTCGATTATATACAGACTGTGGTCATATAGCTGGAATATTGTTGAGTGCAGCGTTAAACAACAAACAATCAAACAAACAAACACTACCAAACACCCTCCCCACACCAATTTGATTAGAATCAGATCATTTACACCGATACAATGCCTCTCTTGAGTGAAGATCTTGGAACACAGCTACAGGAGGACGTGTCAGGTGATCCCTGAGTGAACTTTAATTGCCCAATGTCAGTTATTCATGGGTTCTTGTGCCAATCAGATGTGGATGGCTGGAACAAATCAGCTGTACTTCTTTACCACCTTGATTCATAAATTCAGCATTTTAAGTAGAATAATTTAAAAGAATTTTTTTAATTCTCATTGATGTAAAAATATACCCAAAACACTGAACACAAGGGAGTGCATTTTGGGGTGTCACGATAAATGGAAATATTGATATATTGCTATTGGTAAGCACTTAAAGTCAGTAAATCGATTGTAAAATCAGTTTCTGATCAATAGTATCGATTTTAGTGAGGAATATCGATAGTTTGGATTGTATTTACCATTTCAGTAAAATACATACAATACTGTTCAAATTTGTTTTTCTTTTGATCATGAGTGAGAGTATTTTACACATGGTAATGTGGAAGTTTCTTTTTCTTAAATTATTAGGGTAAAGAAAAAACAAATCAGTCATATCTCAAACTTTACTTTTTATTTGTTGTTATGGTTATCACATTCAAAGGAAACTTCAGTTCCATGGTTCAATTCAACTCCAAAATCTATCTAAAATGATACACTGAAAACTATTGATATTTATCGCAATAGTTGCTTGCAATATTAATAGTTATCGCAATAGTTTCTTTCAATATCAATAGTTATCGCAATAGTGATTTCCAGACCAATAGTCACTGCTAAGTATAATATACTTTAAATCTGGAATGTTTTGCAAGCAGGAAAGTACTGCGAAAACAGCGAGTGACACACTCAAAATAGTTTCATAACGCAGTCATTATTAAGACCAACTAAGCAACAACAAACAAAAAATGAATGTTTCTTTTATTCCCTTCTGACCACCTCTGTGGTCTTGTGGTAGAGTGTCGGCCCGGAGAGCGGAAGGTCCGGGATTTGATCTGTGGCCACGTCCTACCAAAAGACATTAAAAGATGGTACTTGTTGTTACCCTGTCTGGCGCTCGGCATTAAGGGGCTAAAACAAGGACTGGTCGTCTCGGAGTCAGTATACAGTGTCTGAGTGGGGTATTCATGTTAAAGTGCGGCATGGTATCTCAGTGTGCTAGCACTATAAATCGGCATCAGTCTGGACTGGTACAAGCGGCCACACACACACGTGCATGCACATCGCTATATAAGTGCAATAATCTTGGACGCGACGTTAAACCAATTTCACTTCCAGTGAACTTTCAAGACGCTGTTTAGGCTGTTGTTAGCCAATCTCAATAATTCCATGGCGGAACGCTATCCTGATTTACAGTATTGAATACCCAAAGAGCCTTCGTAACACCATATGTGAACGATAACTAAAAACATATCTGGAGCCACGTAAGTATATAGATCTAGGTAAATTTCTGATAAAATATTATGATATAATTGGAAAAGATGCTTAATGTGACTTTTTTCACTTTAATCAGTCTGTTAGCATCTTTGACTCATGATGTACTATAAGCACTTGCGAAAATGTTAATAGCGGGTAAACATTATACCGGTACCAACAACATGCACTCAGCATGCTTCGTAAATGATCATTTTTTGTGATCCTTGTTATCATATTTGATAAGTTTCCAACAAATAGCTTCTGAGGAGCTAAAACACAAAAAACAGCTTCATTAAGATGTCGTTAAGATAAAAATGGCTAAAATGAATATTTCATGCCACTTGTCACATTCCATCTTATACAAGGATCTAAGTGTCTCTCCTTCAGCGCCAACACATGTTACGCTCATAACAGTCTTTGCAATGACAGAATGCTTTTTGGCGATGACATTTCCCATTGCTTTCAGCTATCAAAATGGGGAATGCATTGAGAATATGCCCGAGTGCAGGCTGGCTTTACAGAGTTATCTCCCTTGTTAAGATTTTATCAAGTGTGTTGGTATGTTTTGAAGGGGATTTTTTGTTGCAGTTCCTGTTCTGTTTAACAGATTAACAATCCTCCAAGGCATTAAAAGTGCACCAGTCTAAACATTTTATCTTAATTGCATCAAGGGTTGGCTATTTATGGGTTTGGAGATTCATTGGGAGCATGTATTTACATAAAATGGTTCCGAGTGATGACATCAGCAGAGGGCAGAATACCATATGAGAATGCACTAAATGTAAAATAAACTGTGTCTGTGTGTCACTGGAATGGATTTAACTATTAAAATTGAAGTGTATTTTGATGAATTTCCCATGGACATGGATTTATCTTGACCTGCCTGGAGGCCGATATTCGGCCCCAACTCATGCTAGCTGCAGCATTCGTCAGTACAAGTTCCCAGATTGGAATTAAAACATTCCCGTATCATGTTGATAAAGTTATATGATCTAATGTGATGGCTTAGTGGGGCGACTACACTGATACATAGGCACATAAGATGGTCCAACATTGCAATTGTATTCACTATTCAGGAAAGTGTCATTATTTAAGTACAGGTATATAAGTTTATGTCGTGTAATTCATTACCATCCTTAAAAGAGGCTGTAAATAACATTGATTTATCATATAAGAAGTAAACAACCTCATTGTTTATTCTCCCTTCAGTGTTTTGTTGTACGATAACTAACTCCCTCACGTCAATTATGTATTTAATAAAGATTTGTGAAAAATATTGATACGCATGCTGAAAATGCTGAATTGGGTAATTACTCACAATTTGTGGACATTTCCATGCATATTTGTAGGTAAGCAACTCAAAATCTATTGGGTAATGTTTAAATTTGCATGTATTACATAATCTATTTTGGCTGGTAACTGTGCTGAGATATCCATTCTGTCCATTTACTGTCTGAAATAACAGCCCACCTGCCTGTATGAAATTTTCCTTCACCTTTATCGCTTGTCTGTCAGATAATTTTTAGACTACATACCTATTCAGTTTTATTATAACTCCTCGTAGATTCTCAGTTAATTGTTTGCAACATTTCAACTGATTCAAGACACGATGTTTCTCTTATTTTTCACGATATTTCAATATTTATAAAGTCTGAATGCGGGCAGGTAACATTTATTGGTCACCTGCCCTACTGTCTTGTTGGGTTTAATTTCAAACACTGTGTCCATTACCTGATTACACTGCAATAATAAACAACTGAAAATCTAAAAGATTCAAACTTATCGTGTAGCTTTACAGATTTTGAATATTGCCCTTGAACTACAAGCTTATTTGAATTAAGATGGGTGCAAAGACAGGAGATGCAAAGATGGGAGGTGCAAAGACAGGATATAAAGGTTCTGATATTTTACTTTGAAACAGCTGAACATATACCTCTACACTCATAAAACTACAGGCTAATTGTTTATGTTTCAATGTTCTGGGAGAATGCTTCTATTCAAACGTAGCTTGTTTTCTCGTTTTGTGGATTTCACTTACACTTCTGACAGATTGGCAAGGCATGCTTGAGCTAGACAGAAAAACATTTGAATATATGAGGTGTTTGGAATGAGAAGCTTGTTTGTTTTATTGCTGTTTATGCTCACACAAATTGCAAGCATTCTCTCTTCTCTTAAAACCTTTTATGGCAAATCCCATTTCTCCAGAAAAGAAAGAATGGAGACGATTGGTCAATGAATTGTATTTTAAAGACAGATTAAGTGGACACGGGAGAGACAAATTTGTTGGTATAACAAACGTGACAAAGTTGACATGAATATTGAATATCATGCCATGTTTTGCCACGATGTGTTGTGATCATGCCGTGTTGTGCCAAGATGTGTTGTGATCATGCTGTGTTGTGCCAAGATGTGGATTGGATTGGGAGGTCAGTCTCATTGACTTGTAGGTATGACAAAAGTGACAAAGTTGACGTGAATAGTGGCAAATTTAGTGACCATGACAACTGATAAATTGCATGGTCAAAATAACTGGTAAATTAGTGATCATGACAATCGACAAATTTCATGACCATGTTAATATTTCATGACCATATTAATGACAAAACGTACAGTGTGTCTGCGCTTGTTGTTCAATGCAAAACTCTGTAGTAGTCCCGTTATATGACGCATTTTCGAGTAGGGAACGGGCAGTCCAGTGATTGATATTGTGACACATCATCAACCAAGTCAATGAGCCTGACCACAAGTCTCCTCTTATGACCAAAAGAAGTTGCTACGATAGATGAACTCTAAATCGGACTTCCTACAAGTCAAGGCAGTTTCATGGGTCCATTGCCTCAGTTAAAACGCAGCCGATCTAAAAAACAAATTAAGCATAAAAATATTTATTTTTATAATGTCTCTTGCTAGTAATATAGACCCTCTTTCTATTTCAACCAACCATGTGTATAAAAGCTGGAATAAATCTATGAACATAAATTTAAAATGTGTGGCCTTAGCATTTGAGGGCTATAACTGACTAAAACGAACAGAATATAGGAACATGGTAAACATTTGACCCGTCCAAGCTGGACAAGCTACAAACTCTGTGGACTATCGTAAACGGCGACTTACGGGATCGGATGGTCAGACTCCCTGACTTGGTTGATGCATGTCATCGATCCCAATTGCGTGGATCGATGTTCATGATGTAAATCACTGGATTGTCTGGTCCAGATTCGATTATTTACAGACCGCTGTCATATAGCTGGAATATTGCTGCGTGCGGCGTTACACAACAAACAAACAAACAAACAATCAAACAAAGAAATAAGGTTTACACTAGTCTTGAAAAGAACGAAATTTCTTTTGGGTGCACTGATTGAGGAACAATTTATGAAATACTCCAGAGTTTGAAAGAGTTAAACCAGCTGTCTCTATATTCTTAGATACTGACTCCAACAATTGTATCCACATTTTGGGCATAATCAGCACTCAAGGTCTCAGCAACATTTTGTTTCAAGACTTCATGAATAATATCAAGTAAATTATCAGGTACATGCATTCCTAAACACTTCGACCCCATGGGGATACTGGGTTAGAATAGGCCCCTATGCTGGTCACTAGAGGTGACCTTATGGGCCAGGCTTGGTGTCTTTGTTCATTGTGTGACATCGTACATGATGGTTGATCACTGGATTGTCTGGTCCAGATTCGATTGTTTACAGGCTGCCATCATATACAGTCGAACCTTGTTGTGTTGAACTCATGGTGACATCGTACTTGATGGTTGATCACTGGATTGTCTGGTCGAGATTCGATTGTTTACGGGCTGCCATTATATACAGTCGAACCTTGTTGTGTTGAACTCATGGCGACCTGGAAAATAGTTTGAGTTGTCCGGGGTTTGAAACAACCAAACATCATCTTATGAGAGATTAATACCCTTGACACAACACTAGAGTTCAAAGCATTCATAACTTTCAGTGCTCAATCTGCTTGTTGAGAGGCGGCAACTCAGGCGTAGAATGGATCTCGCTGCCCTCATCTGGATTGGCGTCGCTGTTGGAGTCATAGCTCGAATAATAGATTCACTAACATAATCTGTAGGGGTGACTATTAGTCTGGAAATCACTATTGCGATAACTATTGATATTGCAAGCAACTATTGCGATAAATATCGATAGTTTTCAGTTTATCATTTTAGATGGATTTTGGAGTTGAATTAAACCTTGGAACTGAAGTTTCCTTTGAATGTGATAACCATAACAACAAATTAAAAGTAAAGTTTGAGATATGACTGATTTGTTTTTTCTTTACCCAAATAATTTAAGAAAAAGAAACTTACCTTACCATGTGTAAATTAATACCACTCATGATCAAAGAAAAACAAATTTGAACAGCATTGCATGTTTTTTATTGATATGGTAAATACAATCGAAACTATTGATATTCCTAAATGAAATCGATACTATTGATCGGACACTGATTTTACAATCGATTTATTGACTTTAAGTGCTTACCAATAGCAATATATCGATATTTCGGTTCATCTGGACACCCCTAATAATCTGACAGTCAATTGAGTGAGAAGAAAGTTGAAAGTTTGGCGAGTGTGGGTGTGGATGTTATTATTTTTTTTAACTGTTTGAGGGGGAATTTTATGCTTCATTTGGATACTTGGGACTCCCAAATATGTTCGAAGCAACCGGGAATTCCACACATCCAGTTTGACAGATATGATTATATATATATATATATGATTACAAAAATAGAATGAATTTGCAAGGACCGGAAGGTGAATTTGAGACAACCAGGAATAAGACACAGAGTTTCGACACATTGAGGTTCAAATGTAGCTGGAATTTTGCTGAGTGTGGCATTAACCAACAAACAAACAATTATAACACTTTGATTTCAATGATGTGAAACCCATTCTTTACTTGTACTTGTTTGAAGGTTTTAGGTAAATGAGACTTCTCACACCTTGGGTGGAATTCCAGGAAAGAATTTAACAAACTGCCTAATACAAGTTATGTGTTCACCACAAAAAAGTGCAAGATAGTCTTGGTATTACTGCACAATGTTCAAGGTATTCAAATAACATTGTTAGGAGCTAAAAAAAATGTTGTGAAATGTCTTTTTTTTAGATTTTGTTTACTTTATTCTTTATTTTATATTTTTCCAACCACGATTAGATTCAAAAAGGTCAAGGCTAAAATGTCTAAACAAACTGTTTGTCTTCAGGCTGTGAAGGGGAGAAACTGCCAACATCTAGTCTGTGCTTCTGGGGGCAATGCTGGAATGGCGGCAGCGTATGCAGGGATGAAACTAAAAACCCCAGCAACTATTGTCCTCCCAGAGAGTACATCCGCACAAGTTGCAGAAAATCTCAGACAGCTGGTATGTCCTATTCATGCTATGATTTCAATGTATGCTACAATATTGTTCTTAATTCTCAAATAAGCTTCTTATAACAGGATCGGGTGGTCAGGCTCGCTGACTTGGTTGATGCATGTAATTGTATCCCATTTGCGTGGATCGATGCTCATGATGTCAATCACTGGATTGTCTGGTCCAGACTCAATTATTTACAAACCGCCATCATATAGCTGAAATATTGCAGTGTGTGGCGTTAAACAACAAACAAGCAAACACATCTCTTTGATGCATTTAGATGAAAATTCGCCATGATAATGAAGTCATATGATTCAATATGTAAAAAGGTACCTGATTTTATTAAGTTTTCATAGAATAGTGTTGTCAAATGAACAAAATGCTTTTTTCAATCCTGAACTTAACAAACTTGTAGCAAGAGAAATCAACCGTTATATTCTTGAACGATTATGGCAGCTGATTGGCCGAGCTCAGCTAGCACTGTACACCCAAACATGTTGAGTGAGTAAGTATGGTTTTAGCCGCTTTTAGCAATATTCCGGCAATATTATGGCGGGTGACACCAGAAAATGGGCTTCACACTTTGTACCCATGTCGGGAATCACACCCGGATCTTCGGCGTGACGATCGAATGCTTTAACCACTAGGCTACCCAACTGCCCCCCAACATGTTGAAAAAAATGTTTGTATCCATTCCAGGGAGCAGAGGTACTGGTCCATGGGAAGGTCTTCGACCATGCCAACAAGTTTGCCATAGAACTTGCATCTAAGCCAGGTTATTATAACACTTTATCAGCAGTGTTTTTTCAATTTTGTGGTGACTGTGTGAATATAATAATAATGATAATAATCGCTTGGATGAGGTCGGCTGGCCTGAAAAGTGAAAAAGAAGACTTTCTGTTTGCTGCTCAGGACCAGTCACTTCCCACCTGAAATGGCAATGTGTGATTTTGCATCAAAATGTAAATATGAAATGTAGATTATGTAATGAATTTAATGAGACTGTCTAACACATTGTCAGTGGATGCCCAGCTTTGGCACAAACACAGTATCTTAAGCGACATGATGGGGTGGCTCGATCATTTAATTACCGTCTTCGCCGTGCTTGTGGTTTTGACACAGAGGTCAATCCATGGTGCGACCCAGAATATGTAGAGGGCATCATGGAAAATGATAAATACAAAATGCTTTGGAATAGGCCTGTGTACAGCCTCAGACGTCTCCAGCCCAACAAACCTGATCGTGTCCTTTTTGATAAATCCAATGAAATCAAGATTTTCTGTGGCTTTTGACACTAATGTGATTGACAAGATTCAGGAAAAACATAGAAAATATGTGTTGTGATCATGCCGTGTTGTGCCAAGATGTGTTGTGATCATGCCGTGTTGTGCCAAGATGTGATTCGATTGGGAGATAGTCTCACTGACTTGTGGATATGACAAAAGTGACAAAGTTGACGTGAATACTGGCAAATTTAATGACCATGACAACTGATAAATTGCATGGTCAAAATAAATGGCAAATTAGTCACCATGACAATCAACAAATGATTGATTGCATGTTACTGTGTCAATTGCATAGATCAATGTCATGAAGTCAGTCACCGGATTGTCTGGTCCAGACTGGATTATTTACAGACTGCTGTCATGTAGCGGGAACTCTGGAGTGTGCCATTAAACAACAAACAATGGATCAATCAGCCATGAGGTGGATTGTTGCTCATGCCATTAAACAACAAACAATGGATCAATCAGCCATGAGGTGGATTGTTGCTCATGCTATTAACCTCTGGTTTGTTTGTCCCCAGCATCACCCCTTGCTGTCAATATCTTGGTACAGTCTGACACAGGCCATCATATAGCTGGAATATTGCTAAGTGCGGTGTTAAACAATATTCAAACAAACATTCTGACAAACTTTTGACATGCAGATATAATTAAGAAATAATTTGATTTATGATTAATGAAAGAACGCCTTTAATGTGATGCAGTTTAGGTAATAACTCAACACATATGCTGGCTGTCACTGTCCGAAATTGATTTTCTTATATGATTGGCCAAGAAAAATGAGAGAGTGTTTGAAGACACAATCAAACATCTTCATGTTTTCAGCTGATTTTAGATATTTTACAGCTGCTTCTATCAGTTTTCAATGCAATGATCCATGATTCAACCATGCCAAACCACCTTCTCATCTCTTACAACTGGCATATGTTGCTGGGGGCCAAGTATGACACCGTATTTTTTTTGCTATACTAACTGTATCCCAGGGTAACCTCATGTCTGACTCATGGCATAAAATATTCCATCTTCCCAAGGCAAGGGAGTTAACTGACTATAAAAGTTTCCATTCTTGCCGAACTTGGCTGGACATGTTTGGGCTCGATCCTAACGCCACCAGCGGCTATTACGAGTTATGTCCCTTCTTTGTCCCTCCTACTGACCAATCAGATTCCATCTCTCATACCACTTGCATTTGCTTCAAACAAAATGGTGGCGCCCGGTTAAGACAATTTGATCGATGATTAATCTATATTTTCCAGCCTAGTTAGTCAAGGGTGGAAACTGGAGTTTTATAGTCAGTTAATTCCCTTGCGTTGGGAAGATGGTTTACTTCAGGAAATCAAAGTACTGATTAATAGTTTCCTTTTACTGTTTATTTACTGTTATACCTTACTCATTCACTCATTCTTTAGCAGTGACTTGACCAACCACCTCCCTTTGTCCGGATGTTCATTTCTGACGCTGCGGAAACTGTTTTTCAGGGGCTGAATATATTCATCCATTTGACCACCCAGATATATGGTAGGTTAACACACATTTCATGCACATTTTTGTTTTTAAAAAATTCAAATATGATAAATATAATTTTTCTTTAACAAAATCAAACATTTTGGAATAAAATAGTACCCTAGCAACCTATGCTTGTCAGCTGGTCCCCAATTGTCACAATATAAATCATTGGTTTGTCTGGTCCAGACTTGATTATTCACAGATAGCCTTATTAAGCTGAATTATTGTCTAGTGAGGCATAAGACAACAAACAAAACTATATTGCTTTTTTATTTTATGGTTGAGTCTTCCTTAAGTTTTTCAAAGGAAGGAGAAATAATCTTGTTAAAGTTTCAGTTTGATATTTGATTATTTTAACATTATTTTTGTTGTAATAAGTTATTTGTAGGATATGCTACCATGACATTGAAGAATGTGTGATTCTGATTAGTTTAACAAACCTCTTATTTGTATGTTTGAAACCCTGCGCTAAAGTGCTGGGCTCCAAAATAAAATATAAGGTGTCTAGTCTACAGTGGGACTACATAAACACAGCAGGTTTATCTCCAAGTTAACTATAACATTTGTTTATCTTATTAGCAGCCTTCATCTTAGCATATAATCAAAAAACAATCCCTAAAAAATTATTAAGATTTGTCTGACCTTCCTAAAGTTTAAAAAAATGTTAATGTGAAAAAACTTTTACAGGGAAGGACATGAGAGTTTGATTGTTGAGGCTGCTGCTCAGATGCCAGTCAAACCTGACGTTGTGCTGACGAGTGTCGGAGGTGGGGGGCTCCTGATCGGCATCGTCCAAGGCATGTGGAAAGTCGGGTGGAAGGATGTACCTATCATTGCCATGGAAACAGATGGGGCTAATTGTTTCAATGCAGCCATCAAGGCAGGGGAGTTAGTCACACTCCCAGACATCACAAGGTAACGAGTGGGATGAACAGGGCCCACTTGCACAAAGTGATCTTAGCGCTAAGATGATCATAACTGCCATACTTTAGCATAGGCTTACAATAGTCTTAGCGCTAAGATCGCTTTGTGCAAGTGGGCCCAGGATCTTTTGAGCAGGAAAGTGTTGGGCCTGTTCCACAAACCAATTCATCGCTAAGATTTTCATATTTGCAATATTTTTCTATTTACATTTTACAGTCATGACATTGTGCTGTAGCCAGACTTTCTGTCTGGTTTACAGAAGTTAAGGTGTGAAATATGGCATTCATTGTAAGAAAATAATATCGTTTCAGATTTAATTTTTGTAGCGTAACCCAAAAAGTCTCACCTAAGGTCACTTTGTGGAACAGGGCCTAGACTAATGCCTAGTTTCTGAAAATAGATAAATTTGGTAAAAACAAACAACTCCATTTAAATTGAAACAGAGGCTCAGTGAGATAGGAGATTTATGGAAAATCTAGACTTGCTTCATTTAGGGCTCTAGCATCATGGAAAAAGCTGGGCGGAAGGGGAACAATTATGGTTCAGGGATATTTTCATCTTCCCAGGTGATGTTTAACTGACTGTAAGAGTCCAGTTTCCACCCTTGCCAATTTAGGCTGGAATTCCAGGGTTACATTTTGACTGTCTTACACTGCCTGGAGTTACCTCCCTTTCCTCTGTACTTTCAGTGTGAGTGAGTAGGGTTTTACGCCATTTTTAGCAATATTCCAGCAATATCACGGCGGTCTGTACTTTCAGGCCACCTCTGAAAACATATATTCTTGCAATATATATTCTATGAATATATTTTCTCAGGGATTTAGGGGCGGTCGGGTAGCCTAGTGGTTAAAGCGTTCGCTCGTCACGCTGAAGACCCGGGTTCGATTCCCGACATAGGTACAATGTGTGAAGCCCATTTCTGGTGTCCACCGCCGTGATATTGCAGGAATATTGCTACAAGCGGCATAAAACCATACTCACTCACACACTCACTCTCAGGGATTTATGAAGACCTGCTCAGGGTCTGTACCAATTCCCAAAATGTAATTACAAATTTTGTAATTCATGTTGTTATAGTTACAAACAATGATAACCAGTGTTATATTTTGTAGGGGTGACTTGTATTTCACTGACAATAGGAACAATAAAGAAGATCAAAAGGATTCAGTGCTTAGTTTTACACATAAACACACACACACATTCTTCCATGACAATCAAACTGCCTTGTCAGCAGAATTTATAGAAATGTCAACTCGTGATGTCATGATGAGTTATGATGTCCAATAAATATGAAACTGAATGTATAATGAATATGATGTGTCACCAAGTCATATGCCAAGTTGTCAGTTTTGAGAGAGAAAAATATAAATATCAAGGAAAATATTCATATGCCATCTGCAAATGCTGACCCACTTACATGAATCTGATTATGAACTCATGGAGATCTGGGTTAGAATTGGTCTTCAGGTTGTCATAAGAGGCGACTAACGGGATTGGATGGTCAGACTCGCTGTCTTGGTTGATGCATGTCATCGTATCCCAATTGCATAGATGGATGCACATGGTGTCAATCACTGGATTGTCTGTTCTCGATTCAATTATTTACATTATTACTAACGTAATATAACTGGAATTAGGGTGCAGCATTAAAGAACAAATTAACAAAAAATATAACTTCACTTTGTGTGGGAAATGGGTAGGATATATCCCCAGTCCCCATAATGTACCTGAGCACCCCATAATGTCCCCAGCACCCACAATGTCCCCAGCACCCCATAATGTCCCCAGCACCCCATCATGTCTCCACACCCCTTAATGTCCCCAGCACCCATTATGTCCCCAGCACCCATAATGTTCCTAGCACCCCATAATGTCCCCAGCACCTATAATATTCTCAGCACCCATAATATCCCCAGCACCCATAATGTCCCCAGCACCCAATAATGTCCCCAGCACCCAATAATGTCCCCAGCACCCATAATGTCCCCAGCACCCCATAATGTCCCCAGCAACCCATAATCAATGTTCCCAGCAACCATAATGTCCCAAACACCCAATAATGTCCCCAGCACCCATAATGTCCCCAGCACCCATAATGTCCCCAGCACCCATAATGTCCCCAGCACCCATATTATTTCCAACACCCATAATGTCCCCAGCACCCCATAATGTCCCCAGCACCCATAAAATCCCCAGCACCCCATAATGTCCCCAGCACCCATAATGTCCCCAGCACCCCATAATGTCCCCAGCACCCAATAATGTCCCCAGCACCATAATGTCCCCAGCACCCATAATGTCCCCAGCACCCATAATGTCCCCAGCACCCAATAATGTCCCCAGCACCATAATGTCCCCAGCACCCCATAAGCAATGTCCCCAGCACCCAATAATGTCCCGAGCACCATAATGTCCCCAGCACCCAATAATGTCCCCAGCAACCCATAATCAATGTCCCCAGCACCCATAATGTCCCCAGCACCCATAATGTCCCCAGCACCCCATAATGTCCCCAGCACCCATAATGTCCCCAGCAACCCATAATGACCCCAGCACCTAATAATGTCACCAGCACCCCATGTCACCAGCACCCCATAATGTCACCAGCACCCAATAATGTCCCCAGCACCCCATCATGTCCCCAGCACCCACAATGTCCCCAGCACCCCATAATGTCCCCAGCACCCCATCATGTCCCCACACCCCTTAATGTCCCCAGCACCCATAATGTCCCCAGCACCTATAATATTCTCAGCACCCATAATATCCCCAGCACCCATAATGTCCCCAGCACCCATAATGTCTCCAGCACCCATAATGTCCCCAGCACCCCATAATCAATGTCCCCAGCACCCATATTATTTCCAGCACCCCATAATGCCCCCAGCACCCCATAATGTCCCCAGCACCCATAATGCCCCCAGCACCCCATAATGTCCCCAGCACCCCATAAGCAATGTCCCCAGCACCCATATTATTTCCAGCACCCCATAATGCCCCCAGCACCCCATAATGTCCCCAGCACCAATAATGTCACCAGCACCCATAATGTCACCAGCACCCATAATGTCCCCAGCACCCCATAATGTCACCAGCACCCCATAATGTCCCCAGCACCCCATAATCAATGTCCCCAGCACCCATATTATTTCCAGCACCCCATAATGCCCCCAGCACCCCATAATGTCCCCAGCACCCCATAAGCAATGTCCCCAGCACCCATATTATTTCCAGCACCCCATCATGCCCCCAGCACCCCATAATGTCACCAGCACCAATAATGTCACCAGCACCCATAATGTCACCAGCACCCATAATGCCCCCAGCACCCCATAATGTCCCCAGCACCCCATAAGCAATGTCCCCAGCACCCATATTATTTCCAGCACCCCATAATGCCCCCAGCACCCCATAATGTCCCCAGCACCAATAATGTCACCAGCACCCATAATGTCACCAGCACCCATAATGTCCCCAGCACCCCATAATGTCACCAGCACCCCATAATGTCCCCAGCACCCCATAAGCAATGTCCCCAGCACCCCATAATGTCCCCAGCACCAATAATGTTCCCAGCCCCCCATAATGTCACCAGCACCCATAATGTCCCCAGCACCCCATAATGTCCCCAGCACCCATAATGTCCCCAGCACCCAATAATGTCCCCAGCACCCAATAATGTTCCCAGCACCCATAATGTCCCCAGCACCCCATAATGTCCCCAGCAACCCATAATCAATGTTCCCAGCAACCATAATGTCCCAAACACCCAATAATGTCCCCAGCACCCATAATGTCCCAGCACCCCATAATGTCCCCAGCACCCATAATGTCCCCAGCACCCATAATGTCCCCAGCACCCATAATGTCCCCAGCACCCATATTATTTCCAGCACCCATAATGTCCCCAGCTCCCCATAATGTCCCCAGCACCCCATAATGTCCCCAGCACCCATAATGTCCCCAGCACCCCATAATGTCCCCAGCACCCATAATGTCCCCAGCACCCCATAATGTCACCAGCACCCAATAATGTCCCCAGCACCATAATGTCCCCAGCACCCATAATGTCCCCAGCACCCATAATGTCCCCAGCACCCAATAATGTCCCCAGTACCATAATGTCCCCAGCACCCCATAATGTCCCCAGCACCCCATAAGCAATGTCCCCAGCACCCATAATATCCCCAGCACCGATAATGTCCTTAGCACCCCATAATGTCCCCAGCACCCATAATGTCCCCAGCACCCAATAATGTCCCCAGCACCATAATGTCCCCAGCACCCAATAATGTCCCCAGCAACCCATAATCAATGTCCCCAGCACCCATAATGTCCCCAGCACCCATAATGTCCCCAGCACCCCATAATGTCCCCAGCACCCATAATGTCCCCAGCACCCCATAAGGTCCCCAGCACCCAATAATGTCACCAGCACCCTATGTCACCAGCACCCCATAATGTCCCCAGCACCCCATAATGTCCCCAGCACCCCATAATGTCCCCAGCACCCATAATGTCTCCAGCACCCATAATGTCCCCAGCACCCCATAATCAATGTCCCCAGCAACCATATTATTTCCAGCACCCCATAATGCCCCCAGCACCCCATAATGTCCCCAGCACCAATAATGTCACCAGCACCCATAATGTCACCAGCACCCATAATGCCCCCAGCACCCAATAATGTCCCCAGCACCCCATAAGCAATGTCCCCAGCACCCATATTATTTCCAGCACCCCATAATGCCCCCAGCACCCCATAATGTCCCCAGCACCAATAATGTCACCAGCACCCATAATGTCACCAGCACCCATAATGCCCCCAGTATCCCATTGTGCCCCCAGCACCCATAATGTCCCCAGCACCCCATAATGTCACCAGCACCCCATAATGTCCCCAGCACCCCATAATCAATGTCCCCAGCACCCCATAATCAATGTCCCCAGCACCCATATTATTTCCAGCACCCCATAATGCCCCCAGCACCCCATAATGTCCCCAGCACCAATAATGTCACCAGCACCCATAATGTCCCCAGCACCCCATAAGCAATGTCCCCAGCACCCATATTATTTCCAGCACCCCATAATGTCCCCAGCACCAATAATGTCCCCAGCCCCCCATAATGTCACCAGCACCCCATAATGTCACCAGCACCCCATAATGTCACCAGCACCCCATAATGCCCCCAGTACACCATAATGCCCCCAGTACCCCATTATGCCCCCAGCACCCATAATGTCCCTAGCACCCCATAATGTCCCCAGCACCCATAATATTCCCAGCACCCCTTAATGTCCCAAGCACCCATAATGTCCCCAGCACCCATAATGTCACCAGCACCCCTTAATGTCCCCAGCACCCCATAATGTCACCAGCACCCCATAATGTCCCCAGCACCCCATAATGTCATCAGCACCCCATAATGTCACCAGCCCCCCATAATGTCACCAGTACCTATAATGTCACCAGCATCCCTTAATGTCACCAGCACCCCATAATGTCCCCAGCACCCATAATGTCACCAGCATCCCTTAATTTCCCCAGCACCCCATCATGTCCCCAGTACCCATAATGTCACCAGCATCCCTTAATGTCCCCAGCACCCCATAATGTCCCCAGCACCCATAATGTCACCAGCACCCCTTAATGTCCCCAGCACCCAATAATGTCCCCAGCACCCTTAATGTCCCCAGCACCCCATAATGTCCCCAGCACCAATAATGTCCCGAGCACCCCATAATGTCACCAGCACCCCATAATGTCACCGGCATCCCATAATGCCCCCAGTACCCATAATGTCCCCAGCACCCCATAATGTCACCAGCACCCCATAATGCCCCCAGTACCCCATAATGCCCCCAGTACCCCATTATGTCACCAGCACGGCATAATGTCACCAGCACCCCATAATGCCCCCAGTATCCCATAATGCCCCCAGTATCCCATTATGTCCCCAGCACCCATAATGTCCCCAGCACCCCATAATGTCCCCAGCACCCATAATGTCACCAGCACCCCATAATGTCCCCAGCACCCATAATGTCCCCAGCGTCCCATAATGTCCCCAGCAACCCATAATCAATGTCCCCAGCACCCATAATGTCCCCAGCACCCCATTATGTCCCCAACACCCCATAATGTCCCCAGCACCCCATAATGTCCCCAGCACCCATAATGTCACCAGCACCCCATAATGTCACCAGCACCCCATCATGTCCCCAGCACCCATAATGTCACCAGCACCCCATAATGTCCCCAGCACCCCATAATGTCCCCAGCACCCATAATGTCACCAGCACCCCATAATGTCCCCAGCACCCCATAATGTCCCCAGCACCCCATAATCAATGTCCCCAGCACCCATATTATTTCCAGCACCCCATCATGCCCCCAGCACCCATAATGCCCCCAGTACCCCATAATGCCCCCAGCACCCCATAATGTCCCTAGCACCCCATAATGTCCCCAGCACCCATAATATTCCCAGCACCCCTTAATGTCCCCAGCACCCATAATGTCCCCAGCACCCCATAATGCCCCCAGCACCCCATAATGTCCCTAGCACCCCATAATGTCCCCAGCACCCATATTATTTCCAGCACCCCATCATGCCCCCAGCACCCATAATGCCCCCAGTACCCCTTAATGTCCCCAGCACCCCATAATGTCCCGAGCACCCCATAATGTCCCCAGCACCCATAATATTCCCAGCACCCCATAATGTCCCCAGCACCCATAATGTCCCCAGCACCCCATAATGCCCCCAGCACCCCATAATGTCCCGAGCACCCTATGATGATGGTAAGAGGTCACTTACTGTGTGATGATCAGACTTGGGGAGTTTGTTGATGTGTGCATGTACCCCGATCAAGTGGATCGTTGCTCATCATATCAATCACAGGATTGTCTGGTCAAAACTCTTCTTTTTTTTTTAATTTATTTTATTTTTAATCCCAACTAGTACAAGCAGACACACACACACACACACACACACACACACACACACACACACACACACACACACGTGCATGCACATCGCTATATAGGTGCAATAATCTTGGACATGATGTTAAACCCCATTTCACCTTACCTATAAGGATATATTTATAATTATGTGAAGCACTCTGACAATCACTACATAAGACTTCCATTAGCAAGGACGGCTCTGGTTTCTGTCCATATCCATGTTTTTTCCACTTGAGAAAAGCCTGATGACACAGGGGTGTGATGTTTATCCCAAACTGCCTCAACAGGAGATATCTGTGGGTGACATCAAGTGATCTCTCCTTGGAGATAAGGCTGTAATGAAATGACATCACAATCCTTTGCAGACCATTGTGACATCATCGGTTACCATGACGTCCCAATCAACTGACATCACTCTGTCACTGAAGCTTGTTAGCTGTTCTCCTTACACACAAGACACTGCTCATTACTGTTTAAAAACTGAAGTTAAAAAGAATGATTTGGATCATAAATAGAATATCACCTGTGTGTCTTTTGCTGTCAAATATATCCGCACAAGTCGCTAAGTTCAATCTCCTTTGCAAGCCTCAGTCAACTTGTGTAGATATACTTGATAAGACACTCGGGTGAGATTCTTTATGAACCAAATTCAAATGTTGGTTTTCACTCATTGAAGGAGGCGACTTACGGGCCCACTGACTTGCTTGATGTCATCAATTCCAAATGCATGGATCATGATATCAATCACTGGATTGTCTAGTCCAGACTCGATTATTTACAGACCACCGTCATATAGCTAGAATATTGCTGAGTGTGGTGTTAAACAACAAACCAACCAACTAACCAATTGCCTAAAACGATGCTCATGATGTCAATCACTGGATTGTCCGGTCCAGACTTGATTATTTACAGACCGCCATCATATAGCTGTAATATTGCTAAATGCAGCGGTAAACAACAAACAAACAAACAAACAAACAAACAAACATTTAAGGAGACATACCATAATAATTTTTACAACCTCTGACATGTTTCATTGAAGCCCAGGAAAGTCAGGGGTGTTCAAGTGGCCAGGCTTAGTCACCCCTCAGCCTTCTCTCCTTCTCTCCACAGCTAGCATTGCTTGTCTTTGCCTCATTTTGGCCCACCACTCACTGGTTTTCTTACAGTTTCTTTCTTTGTTTACTCCCTCTCACAAGCTTCTCCCCTTGGTTCCAGTGTTGCCAAGTGTCTGGGATCACTGACGGTTTCCTCCCGTGCATTTGAACTTCACCAGAAGAAGGAGCACAACATCCAGTCTGTGGTTATAGAGGACAAGGAGGCTGTCAGTGCCTGCCTCAGATTTGCAGGTATGTATGTGGAGAGAGCCAGGATAATAATGATATGCTTACGGCTAAAAATAATTGTCTTGGTTCTCAGGCACCGCTCGCATGATCATAAAGTCTGTTGCAAGTTTCATTTTTATTTCCATTTTCTAAAAACATAACAAAATCCTAACACTTAAAAACGATGCGATCTAATATAGCACGGAGTAACCTCCCTTTACAAACACACTGCTTTATTGCTCATCTCGTGTTTTTTGGTCATGGCGGCATTAAGAGTTTGTATGCTTGTTTATGTAGGGAGGCCCTTTCCAAGGTTGATGGTACACAACTGTTTATTTGGTTACATACTAGTTTGAACAAGCAAAAAAAAACACACCGCCCGCCTGCCTGCACTATATTTTCAAAAGTCATTGCCTGAGAACCAATTCTTTTATTTTGGGGGGCCTTATTGAGTGACTGGCTAGTATTTCACTCACATTTTGTTGGCTTTATGTGGGAGAAAAGCCTGAAGTGATGCAGGTCTAAGTTTGTTTGTTGTTTTATGCCGCACACAGCAATATTCCAGCTATATGACAGCGGTCTGTAAATAACCGAGTCTGGACCAGACAATCCAGTGATTGACAATATGAGCATCGATCCACCCAATTGGGATACGATGACATGCATCAACCAAGTCAGCGAGCCTGACCACCCAATCCCGTTAGTCGCCTCTTACGACAAGCATAGTCGCTTTCTACGGCAAGCATGGGTTGCTGAAGACCTATTCTACCCACGATCTTCATGGGTCGCAGCTCTAAGTCTCACCGGAGTTACCTCCCTTACCTCTGTACCTTCAGTTCATATCTTGAACTAAATATAAACTTTCAACGCCAGAGAATAATACAGAATAGGCTGGCTGATGTATATCTGGATTACTGGGTGTTATGTCAGCAACTTGACAAGATGTGGCAGGTCAGTGAACTTATCCTAATTAGACTGTTGACACTAAGTGGGGATTATTTGTTTGATCATGTACTAGCTGTTTTAACAACATATGGAAGTGAATTTTTTAAAATATGCCTCCTTACATCTTTTCTTTCTTGTTGGTCTGCAAAACTTTCTTGCATCATGAAACTATTGTGAGTGTGTCACTAGCAGTTTTCTCTGTACTTTCCTGCTCACAAAACGTTCCGTTTTACAGTAGGCTCCCCCTGTAGATCCTCTACCTGTCCTAAGAGGTGTTTGAAGTTGAACAAGAATACATGAAACTTTTTATGGACAGCAACACACAAGGCCATTTAGAAAATGGTCAAATGTGTATTTTTGTATTACTAGTACTATGGGGGGGAATCCGGGATTCGAACCTACACTGCCTGAGTGAGGCACCTAATCACCAGCACACAAAGTCAGCAATCTAACCCTCTCAGTCATCAAGGCTTTCATAAAAATGAAAGTCTGACAGCTGGTAGTCTAGATCACTTAATTTGAGTACCCCTCTGGCAAGTGTAAATTGGCACAGCTCGAGTTATGAGCATAAATGTGTCGTAAACATGAATAAATCACTCTATTTTCTTTTTCAAAATATTGCAAAACTAAAGATGATATAACGTTCATATTGACAATCGTGTCCTTCGATTCTCAAAATGTGCCCGAATGCTTCAGGAGCTTATAAAAAAATCCACAATTAATGTAGGTAAAATATAAAGTATGAAAAATTCAGTAAATGTGATCCCACAACCCCCTCTCTAATGATTGGAATATGAAAATAAAGCAAAATTCACCATATTTTGGCTTATTTCTACTAATAACTCAATTTATGAGAGGCTGTAATTACAAAAAAAAAAAAATAATTCCAAGTCTACGATGTTTTAACTATCACCTAAATGATAAATAAAGGACTCAATTCATACAGTACCTTTTAAGGGGACTTTTTTTCATTTTCTCTATTTTACAACAGAAATGTACATTTTGACCCCAAAACAGTATCTTCCATCTAAACATTTGACCACAACAATCATTTGGATGCAAAAACCATAAAGAAAATCTAAGTTTGCATTGTTCTACGCTGGGGAGGGGTATGTCTGGGGAGGGGTATGTCGCCAGTTTGAAGATCTGGCCACTACTCTATATTTTGTATGACGAAGAAAGTGATGAAGGAGCAAGACTTAGCTCTGAAACGTCATGACAAAGAATAAAATAAGTTGCTATCCATAAAAAGTCTCATGTGTTCTTATCCTGAGAGGGGTGGTGGCGTTTTGTGGCCATGCTGACGACGTGTCATTCCCTGTGATGTGATACGTTGCTCGTGTCATCTTACTGGTTTGTCTGGACACCATCTTATAGCTGGAATAAGGCTGACTGTGGTATGAAACAAGACAATAAAGATGCGTCACTCTGTGTTCTGTCTGCCCAGATGACCACAGGATGCTGGTGGAACCAGCGTGTGGAGCAGCGCTGGCAGCAGTGTACAGCAACATCATCCCCGCGCTGCAGCAAGAAGGGCGTCTGGGGAAGGTGGAGACGGTTTTGGTGGTTGTCTGCGGGGGAGGTTCGGTCAGTCTGGACATGCTGCAGGCATGGAAGAAACAGTTTGACCTCTGAATGTTGTCATGGAAACTCAGACTTACAGGTCCAATAAACAGAAAACAGAAATGATCATGATATCACTCAGCCAATCACTCCTTTTGAAAGTCCTTTTGCTGGCCAATCATGGGTCATTTATTGAAGGTAACAGTCTCCAATCAGCACACTCTTCTTATACAATATGACCTTGGAATTTTGTCATGGAATGTCTGGTCCAATTGTCCACATAACACACATTGACACACAGCAATAAGCATGACATCACCCAGGCAATCACTACTGGAAATGCTCTTTCTGGCAAAATCTGAGGTCATCTATGGTGATAAGAGTAACCAATCAGCACCTGTACTTATACAGTTTGACATCTGAATGTTGTCATGAAAAGTCAGGTCTAATTGTCCACAAAGTTCAAATTGACAAACGGGAATAACCATGATATCACATAGGTGATCACAACTTAGAAATCCTTACTGTGGCCAATCATAGGTCATCTATTGAAGTTATGGGGTAACCAGTCAGCACACTCCAATTATAATGCATCATGGATGTTGTGTAATAATAATAATAATAATAATAATAATAATAATTAATAATAAAGATGAATAGTTGAAATTACACATTATTTTGTGAAAATATGAATAGTGATATAAAAAACTTGATTTATGTCATACAATGTGCTGGATGCAAGGCCGAATACATTGGACAGACATGGGACACCCTAAGAGCGAGAGTGACAAAGGCAACAAATAAGGAACCCCTCTCCTCGGCGTATCCCACTCAGTCAACACTCAGCACCCAGTGTGCTGGGAAATAAAAGTATTTATAAAACACCAAATTTTGTGATATTCCCGTTTTACAAATGTGACAATGATGCACTGAGAAAGATAAAAGAAAGTTATTTTAATAATACTTTCAAACCAAAATTAAATGGCCTGAAATAATTGAATTATTTTATACAATCCCATGTATTGTACATTTTACTGCCACTACAATACTTACTTCTGTATGTGTCGTACGCCTGCCCTATCGTCTTACGCCTGTCTTATTGTAAGTCACAAAGTTAGAGTGCACTGTGACGTCAAAACAGCGAAACGGTATAACTGTACTCGTGAAAATCACATGCTTGAAACCGGTTGAGTAAATTATACAGCTCATCTTTGGACTTTTGTATTTTAAATATATTTATATATCTAGAAGCTGTGGAGTGTCTAAATGTAGACTGAACAATCAAGAACACATTGCATGACAGAAACTGTTGAATGCATTAATGTGCTTATTGCATCACTGAAGTGCTGATTTTATAGTTTTATAGTCTATACACATGTTGTCATCATTATACAATGTTATTTTCCCGGAAAATATACCTCAAACGTTTATTTTTCTTAATGTTGAAAGATGTGTTTCTATGTGTTTGTGATCTGTGCTAAATGCCAGTCCAAGATAAGAGGTGTGTTTAGGGTTTTCGTTGTTATAACTAGTTGTAGTGTAGTTGTAGCTGTTGTAGTTGTAGTGTGTCACTGACAATTGATGGATGAGCATACCCTTATTTTGGGAACAAAGAAATTGCTATTTGTATTGTTCTTTAAAAAAAATATTGAATGATTTTATTTGTATGGAAACCTGACCTCAATAGTAACGTGGGAATATTTGTCTGTGTCCTGTCTCTGTTCAGACCAATAAGGTCGTAATACAGGAAAACAAAATGTGTGATTGGATTCCGAAATCTGCATGTTCCACCCCATTTGTCAGATACCATAATGTCACCAATGCAACCAAATGCAATTACTACTCACAGTTCAAGTCATTACTAAATGTGGAATCATATATTTTACTTGTGGTATGTCTTCTTACCAACGTAGACTTATAGCCATGTTCCGGTGTAATAATTTCAGACTTGCTGTTGAACTGGGGCGTCACAACAACATCCCACATAATGAACGTGTCTGCACTTTCTGTTTTTCAAAGGGACATAACCCTGTTGAAGATGAATTCCATGTTCTTATGATTTGTGACCAGTACTCCAGAGCAAGAAGAGACTCTTTTCCCAAACGTCTCGTTACCCCTCCCTCTATTGAGACTTTTTTAAGACTTATGTCAGCTGAAAACGAACAAATTATAAAAAGCTTAGGTAAATTCCTCTTCCAAGTCATGAACATTCGAATGGAAAGTGTTGAACGGTGAATCATTATTAAATCTACTCAGCATGCAAATATATATACAGTATATTTCCATTGTATTATGGGCCGGTGGCCTGAAGTACCGAATAAATTTGTCTGTCAGTCTGTCTGTCCAATGCCACGGCTGAGTTACCCCAGTGGTAAAATGGATTAGTCTCCATCATGTCCCATTTGTCAGGCACCTCATGAGAAAATAAAACTTGAATAAATGAAAAGGCTTTCATTGTGCTTTCCAGGCTTTGATAGCCACATTCAACAAGGTGTGACATATTACCACATGAAGGTTAGTCATTTAGCTCTTAGGAACCGAAACAAAGCTTTTAGAAGTCTGTACATACAAATGTGTGACATATTCACCTTGGTGTGCCTTTTTTTATTGAGTACATGTATTTTAGCAAGGGCTACATGAGCAACCCTTTAGTAACCAGACAGCAGCACAGCAGAACTAATTCTGAGATTAAGCCTTACTAATTAGGATGACAATTGATGTTGATTCCCTATGCTCTTCACAATTCTTTTAATAAATTGATATCGTGCAAATCTCGTTGCTGATTACTTTTTTATAAACATCAAGTAACAGAGGTTACAATAACTGCCGCATTCGACCTAATAAGCGCCCAGGGCGCTCTCAAAATTGGAAATAGGGGGCTCTTATTAGAATATTTTTTTGGTGAAAAAACCCATAGTTATACCCCCGTTTACGAAGTAAATCGGGGGTATATAGCGTTCCGTCTGTCCGTCCTTCCGTCCTTACGTCCTTACGTCCGAGCTTTTGTACGGCCCATAACTTTTTAACCATGCACCCTAGCTTCACCAAACGTGCTACACCCATTTACCACAATGAGTACTTGTGCCTTTTGCTAGTTTGAAGATTCTGATTTTTTTAATTTTTGCCGTTTCCATGGACACATTAAGAAACTTAAACTTTTAGGGTGGGTGTTTAGTACGGCCCACATCTTTTTAACTATGCATTCTAGCTTCATCAAGCTTGCTACACACATTTACCGCAATGAGTACTTGTGCCTTGTGTGGCTGCTTGTACAAGTCCGGACTGATGCCGATTTATAGTGCTAGCACACTTAGATACCATGCCGCAGTTTAACATGAATACCCCACTCAGACACAGTATAGCCGACCAGTCCTTGTTTTAGCCCCTTAATGCCGAGCGCCAGACAGGGTAACAACAAGTACCATCTTTTTAACGTCTTTAGGTATGACGCAACCGGGGATCGAACCCCGGACCTTCCGCTCTCCGTACGGACGCTCTACCACTAGGCCACGGAGGCGGTCGTAGTTAATAAAAGTATCAGTAGTTTCACGCTAGTAATTCAATCTTTGTAGCAATTTGTTCAAGTCATCATTAGATTCAGCAAATATAATAACATCACCAGCATACATTGAGGCGGAAATAATGGTACCATCAAGAATATTGCCTATTTTGGAATCGGTCATAAGATCCAGCAAGTCATTGAGTGAGTATGGTTTTACGCCGCTTTTAGCAATATTCCATCAATATGACGGCGGGGACACCAGAAATGGGTTCACACATTATACCCATATGGGAATCGAACCCGGGTCCTTGGCGTGACGAGCGAACGTTTTAATCACTAGGCTACCCGACCGCCCCAAGCAAGTCATTGATGAACAAATGAAGCATTATAGTAGACAGTAAACATCAATGTTTCAAGCCTAGATTAACATGAAACCAGGATGTGAACGTACCATTTACTCGCATACGACATTTAACATTGAGGGGGGCACGGGAGGCCCAGTCGTCTCAGGCGTCGCGATTCTCTGTGCAGAGTTGCGTCCCTTGGGTACGCCAGGAACTCACTCACTCAATAAACATTGCGATAAAGTGACTGAAGCGCTACAGGCATGCCCCCATTGACACCAACATCGTGAAGTTTATACCACAGCAAACATGCTATTAGGTCAGTACAGTGCACGGACTGGGGATGCATCTAAATTCAAATTCATGAATATTGAAACAATTGAGGAATGGAGACCAATCAGTACAAGCTATTCACTCGGATGAGTGACATTTATTGACCAAGCCGACGTTACTTACCCTACACGAGAGAACAAAGGAATGTACTCATATGTTAGGGGTTAATGCCTATTTGATGCGTTCAGTTATGTCACAGTGTGTCAGCTTAATGTTGGAGGAAAGCCCCAAAGTACCACCTTGGTGAACCCACGAGCAAAGTATGGTGCAGACAGGCCAGAAGGAATATCTCCGGCAAATCTGGGATTCGAACCCATGATTAGCTGATCCTGGCAGCTAAGGGAGACAACTGTGTACAATGAGTTCACACATGTTCCGGACGGTGCATTTAAGCAAAATATAATAGTTACATGTTGTTCAGAAGATATTCGGTGAAGGTTTTCATGGACATGTACTATCTTATTATCTGTGAACACACTATGCAATTTAGAAAGTGGTCAAATGTAACAAATGTTATATTTGGGATAACACTTCCTTTGTACAGTGGGGCGGTCGGGTAGACTAGTGGTTAAAGCGTTCGCTCGTCACGCCGAAGACCCGGCTTCGATTCTCGACATGGGTACAATGTGTGAAGCTCATTTCTGGTGTCCCCCGCCGTGATATTGCTGGAATATTGCTAAAAGCGGCGTAAAATCAAACTCACTCACTCACTCTTTGTAAAGTACCAATCCTGACTTTGGGTGCTGGCGATTGCCTCACTCTGGCAGTGTAGGTTCGGATCCCGGATGGGACTCAATCCCAAAAGGTACGAGAATATTTACTTTACAACGAAAGCGTTATCAGAAATATGACATTTGTACCAATCTTATTACAGTACAGGGGTGTTGCTCTAGCCTAGTGGTTAAAAGCGGTCGTTTGTCACGCTGAGGGCCAGGTTCTATTCCCCACGTATGTACAGAGTGTCGGGCACATTTCTGGTGTCCTTCGCCATGATATTGAGGATCGCGACTCATACTCATTCTGAAGGACCCGTGAAGATCCGGGGTAGAATAGGTCTTCAGCAACCCATGCTTGCCGTAAAAGGTGACTATGCTTGTCGTAAGAGGCGACTTACGGGATCGGGTGGTCAGGCTCGGTGACTTGGTTGATGCATGTCATCGTGTCCCAATTGCGTGGATCGATGCTCATGGTGTCAATCACTGGATTGTCAGGTCCAGACTCGATTATTGACAGACAGCCGTCATATAGCTGGATTGTTGCTGAGTGCGGCGTTAAACAACAAACAAACAAACAAACAAAACAGGAAGAGAAATTGATCCGGGAATTACAAATATCTCTGAAAAGGTGATTCTACACCTTTCTGACTATTGCTACCAAGACTTTACCAAGCGGGGTTTAACGATTACATCAACCTTTCATTAGGTACTACCCAGGTCCTGTATGAATACTGAGGATTTATGAGACCATGCTTCATTTACCGTACGTTATGACACCCGGGTACATATGGCGTCCAGGTCACAGCTGCTCAGTGTACAGTTTTCCTGCATCGCCCAGTCGCCCACAAATAATATTGACTAGTTTGCTCTTTGTCTTCAAACTGATTTTGCCCCAAGCCCCCTACACCGTCAGTAGATATACACAATGACTTCTTCCGCCGACCCTGCTGATTTGCACAATGAGCGCCGGTGTATTGATCCCCTGAGGACAACACTACAACTAACCAGACAGACTGGCAGAGAGACAATGGTTTATTTATGTCTGTCTTCTGTACATATATAAAACAATTTGTACAAATAAACATTGATGGAATGTGCTGTATCATTCAAAATAGAATGATGAGAGACAAATATCCTAAAATTCGTACAGATATGCTATAAGGCGTCACTGAATACAATACACACACTTGCATCACTGAATACAAAACACACACTGGCATCACTGAATACAAAACACACACTGGCGTCATTGAATTCAAAACACACACTGACATCACTGAATACAAACAACACACTTGCATCACTGAATACACAACACACACTTGCATCACTGAATACAAAACACACACTGGCATCACTGAATACAAAACACACACTGGCATCACTGAATATAAAACAAACTGGCATCACTGAATACAAAACACACACTGGCGTCACTGAATATAAAACACACTGGCATCACTGAATACAAAACACACACTGGCATCACTGAATATAAAACACACTGGCGTCACTGAATACAAAACACACACTGGCATCACTGAATACAAAACACACACTTGCATCACTGAATACAAAACACACACTGGCATCACTGAATACAAAACACACACTGGCATCACTGATTATAAAACACACACTGGCGTCACTGAATACAAAACACACACTGGCATCACTGAATATAAAACAAACTGGCATCACTGAATACAAAACACACACTGGCGTCACTGAATATAAAACACACTGGCATCACTGAATACAAAACACACACTGGCATCACTGAATATAAAACACACTGGCGTCACTGAATACAAAACACACACTGGCATCACTGAATATAAAACACTGGCATCACTGAATACAAAACACACACTGGCATCACTGAATATAAAACACTGGCATCACTGAATACAAAACACACACTGGCATCACTGAATATAAAACACTGGCATCACTGAATACAAACAACACACTGGCATCACTGAATACAAAACACACACTGGCATCACTGAATATAAAACAAACTGGCATCACTGAATACAAAACACACCTTGGCATCACGGAATATAAAACAAACTGGCATCACTGAATACAAAACACACACTGGCGTCACTGAATACAAAACACACACTGGCGTCACTGAATACAATACACACACTGGCATCACTGAATACAAAACACACACTGGCGTCACTGAATACAATACACACACTGGCATCACTGAATACAAAACACACACTGGCGTCACTGAATATTAGACAAACTTTGTCAATATCAGGTTTATCTGAAAGATTCTGAGACTTCATACATTCATTAAAAAGAATTGCCCTGATGTGGTCATGTCACACATGTACGCTGTGAAACAAAGCACCAGCGCAGCTGCTTCTACCCCATTGTCCACTCTGTTCCACCCGATTAAGTATATGACGTCAACGCGTGTGTCCTACTGTTGTTGGAAAGTAGCGGCTGGCGTGGTCTCTGAAATTATATTCAATGGTCACCCACCTGCCATTCTAATATACCCGGATATTAATATTTACTAATTTTGTAAACTATGTACCACTGAACATGTGTTGAGGACCAAAATTGTCATCTCTAGAGAAAGGATTGGCCCTGAGCACATGTTGAGTGGTATATTAATGCCAAGTGCTATGGAGAAGCTGGTGAGGTTTGTGAACATAGCACAGCCAGTAATTCCCAAATGGAGAAATTCTAGAGGAAACAGGCACACTGGTAACGCAGTAAGACTAACGCCGAGTCTCGGAAACATTTAAATTGATAGAAATAAATAACCCCATCTAATTCGAAAAAGAAACCCAGTGGGATAGGAGATTCAGAAGCTGAGGAAAAATCTAGACTTGCCTCATTTAGGGCCT